ATGCAGACGAATAGGCACAATGGCTGCACCGTTTCGCACACCTTTATCCACCCAGAAAGATGATGATATCATACAGTGTAGTACGTCGTCTCACGGTAAAGATACTGAAGGTACTAGGACTGGATGGAAAGCTGATGAAAGTTTGAAGCATTTCGATGAGAACATTATCGACCTGATTGAATCTGAGGTATGTACATTCCGTTTTTTTTTTCAGATCATTGATATTAAAGTCTTTTTTTTGCAAGAATTTGCAATTTTTCTCAGTGTAAAGCTTTGTCGTTGATTCTTTTTCAAATCTGTAATGAGATTGTTCCCTCGAAATGCACAATCGTTTATGACGTCCACAGTTTATAAATATTCCTGGAAATGTCTTCAGATCATGTCTCAACGCGGTACAACCACATGGCAAGATATTGCTGGTCTTGAAAAAGCCAAAAAAGCGCTCAGGGAAATCGTTGTTTTGCCTTTTCTGAGACCGTTAGTTTTAATTTAACTTAATGAAATGTTTCATTGTCGAACTCTGTTTTTGGGGTTGTTCCTTTAGTAGAAATCATTGGAATGTGCCGATGGTAAACGTTCTTGGCTCATTACTATTGCATGCATAAATTCCACCATTTGTTTTCCGTTTCATCTCATATCGATAAAACTTTGTCAAAGTTGATGTTGAGTAATTGCTGATGACCATTAAGTGAATTTCAGTGATATATTCACCGGCATCCGTGCGCCACCAAAAGGTGTGCTTCTGTTCGGTCCTCCAGGAACAGGCAAAACCATGATCGGTATGATGGAATAATCTTGAATTTCTTTACTGTTTTCAGTCAGCAATGAGATTTAGGTTTGTAATGGTATTGGTATTTAGGCTTGGCTTTGTAGTCGATATCATGTCCTTGGCCGTCTTATGTTAGCCCCTCTTTTAATGAACCAGTTATATTCAAAATATATGAAGTGGATGTAAGAAATTCTCAGTCAATCGCTTGCTGGCATTCTTTTGTCATTAACCTGGAATAGAAGCTCAGTGATGTCCATAATTTTCAGCTAACTCGATTCTAATTGTATAATGATAGCGAATTACAGGTAGGTGTGTAGCAGCACAGTGTAATGCAACGTTTTTCAATATTGCTGCATCCTCGTTAACATCCAAATGGGTCGGTGAGGGTGAAAAACTAGTTCGTGTTCTTTTTGCGATTGCTCGTCTCTTACAGCCATCTATTATATTCATCGATGAGGTTATTTACGCTTTCATTTTGCATATATTCGTCCATCCATTTTGCTTTTCGTGTTTAGCAAAACGGTAAATGATTGGTTTTTGAATGGTCGTTATTTCTGCGGTTTTTGAGAAAGTCTTGAAAATGATTACGGTTTTATTGAGAAAGGCGATCAAATCGCAACATCCTGAATTGTTTTGACTTTTTCTGTTATTATTATAACGGTCGACTGTATAGAAGTAATTGAAGCTATATTATCGATTTATTTGAAATGAAGACGAATGTCGTTGAATAATGATAAGTTTTAGATTGATTCGTTGTTAACGAGTCGTAAAGAAGGTGAACATGAGTCGTCGCGTCGTATTAAAACGGAATTTTTGGTTCATTTAGATGGTGTTGCTACGTTTAGTGATGAAAAAATTCTTGTTCTTGGAGCAACCAACAGGTGCTTTTTATCAACTTTTGATTGATTCAAGCACTGAATGCAAATCTTTGTTCACCATATCAGCACATGTATGAAAATTAATCAGAAATTCTAATTCCAAAATTTGTATGGTGACATTGGGAGATTCAGTATTTTCAAAATATGATAATTTATGTATACTAGATTTTCTTTCTTGACTCTTCGGATTCGCCCTCTATTCTAGATTCAACAACTGACTGTATCCATGCACCTCTTTATATTAAAATTGTGAGTTAGGCCATACGAACTGGATGATGCAGCAAAGAGACGTTTTGCCAAAAGACTTTATATATCACTGCCATGTGAAGAAGCCCGAATGAATATTGTTAAATCTCTTCTGCAAAATCAGAAACACGATCTCAGTGACGATGATTTGAAAGCCATTGCTAAAATCACTGAAGGTATCATCCGTCTATCTAATTAATAACAATATCAGTTGTAGATGTCTTATCTATCTGCAGTGATATAATCAATTCCTTTCCAACATTAGCAATAATTTAAATCCAGAAAATGTCATTCGAAAGTATAGAAAGCTTAAATAATGATTTTTGGTTCATTTAGATGATTCATAAAGTTTTGTTCATATAGACGGTTCATGAAAATTTTTTGTTCATTTAGATGGTTCATAAATTTTTTTATCAATTATGTCAAATTTGAGTAAACGGCTTTTTGAGTTAAAAATTTCATTAAAGGATATTCTGGTGCCGATATGAAGCAGTTATGTGCGGAAGCTTCCATGGGTCCTATTCGTGATATTCTTCGATCATCCTCAGTGGATATTGCGACTGTTGATAGCGATGAGGTTGTTGCGACGTCCAGTCTTCCCATTTGTTATCAATTCTTACTCGGGAAACAGCAATTTTATAAGTTCTTACAGTGATGGTTCTATCGTCAATCATAAGATGATATCTGTCGTTTGCATGTTCACGGAAAATGAAATACGAAAATAGAATGATGATATAATCAAAATTAAATGAAATGTCGATTTTTCAGGTTCGAGCAATCACAGTAGCAGATTTTGAGGATGCCGTTCAAGTGGTTCGTGCAACAGTTATTGAGCAGGATTTACTGGCATATCGCGATTGGGATTCGAAATTCGGTTCATTGAATTTGTCGTGAGATTAATTCGAAGTTCACATTGTTTCATTTTATATTTTTTCAGCTGTACCTCGATGATTTGGGTTTCTTATTGGTGTCTTATTTATGCAGTTGTTTTGATCTTGACTGGACTCGTAATCAATACGGCGTTTCATATTTGAGTTTTTCTCTTTCAAGAAATTAAGAGTGAAAATCTAAATGGAAGTGAATTTGGGATATTTTTCTCTAATATAATTAAATCTTTTCATTGTTCCTAATGAAAGTGATTCCACTGAGCATCGTTCTACAACATATCAAATCCAAATCATTATTGTAATGAATTGTTACTAAAACGACTCTTATATGCTTTCTTTGAAACGCTGCAGTCATATTTAGATTTCGAGCATTGTTTCTTCTACTGAATTCGAATTCACTTGTGAATTATTTGTTTAAATTTCATCACATTTGGTGTTATTTGTGAATGGCATTCCCATGCAATTTTGTCTTTCAAATCATTTTTTACTGTATATTGATTGTGTGTTCGTTTCTCAGTTTTCTCATTGCTCATTTAAATTCTCACTAATGCATTCGATGATCGTTAATTGCTATCTGCATTGAAATTCTCGAATTGTATATAATTTGATGGGAAAAAGCTTTCTCACCGTTGTGAACATTGTGATATGCAATCGATCACAATTGTAACTGTTGAATTTTTATAATTTGTTTCTTCATGTGTACATTATTGTCTGTGCTTTAAATATTCTCATCGAACAGTTCGAGGGATTTCGAAACTTTCAAAGTGTACTCTTACAGAGGAAAGAATCGAGTATGAAAGGAATGGTTTTTAACTGAGAATTTTGAGAGTGGTGGTTGGAGGGATTATGAAGGCTTAATTGATTCTCTCAAATATTCATAAAGGGTAAATTTGAAATAAACGGTGTTAGAACTAATAAAACATTCTTCTTTGAATTTCAACGACTTGTGCATGCAGCAGGAATTTAATTGTAATCCGCAAACAATTATTTCTATAGAGTTGAATATCTGCCTTTAAATGTTAAGGAATGATAGAGGTGGGTATACGATGAGGTTTGAGAATTGAGAATTCAGCTTGAATTTGTTAGATCAGATTATGTAAATGCGTTCGTGTTTCAATCTTTTGGAAATGAAGAGTAATAATATCCTTGAAAGACAGTGTAAAATATAATAAGAATCAATTCAGTGAAAATTGCAATTTGTTGCCGTTTTGAAGTGAGACGTAGCAAAATTATCATAATGATCGATTGCGACGAGGAACATTAGCTGTATTGGTTTAGGCATTAATCTCTGAAATGAATGATAAACTTTTGTAAGTTAGGTGTCGTCTGGTTCACATGTGGTCTTGTTTCACCATTGTGCCGGTGGATTCATCTAGTGATGTGTTGAAGATGAATTTGATTAGGCAATCTTCTAACTGTTTAGTATCCCATTAACTTCATAAATTACTTCATGCATTGCTCCTATTATCCAGTCATTCAGTCAGCTTGGTCATTGTGTTGTATTCACGTTGAATTTCGCCTCAGCATCTAATTTATCATCAAAGAGTATTGTCATGTTTCAAAATTCATATTGATCCTATCAATCTCTTTGTGTGCAATGTTACAAATAGATCACAGTAGTGTTTGTTTGACAAGCGTCTTAACTTGTTTCGTTTTGAAGAGTTGACTGATTATGCTGATACACTAATATAAGTGAGAATGCATGTATGTATGTATGAAACATATAGTTAGACTCGAAAATTAATGATTACTTAGATTTTGCATCAATTTTGCTCGTACGTACGTCACATGAAACAGGTGAGGTGTCATGTAATCAACCAGCTTCTGATCCGCCATCACAGTTCACGGTTGCATATCAAAATAGCAATTCATTTTATTTCTCAATATCCGTTTTTCATATAGAATCTTAGCGATTCTTGAGCTTGTATTATATATTTATTCATATTCATGTGATAGCATCGAAAACAGACAAACACTCGACCTGCATATCTCCGTTGAAGCAGATTCTTAAATCGAAATCTTGCAAAACTTTTTAAATGTGGTTGTACGGACTTGATTATATTCATTCATATATACGGATGGCAACATGGTACCATAAGGTATCAGTAGTGCAAGAATAAAATAAGGTTGTGTGATTAGCATGCCGGTTTGGTAAAAATGTTATGAGATTCGCATCTACTTGTTTTCATTCATTGATGGTCAATATTATTACAGTCTTTTGAGAATCGTATCGAGATGAACGAACAAGAAGTGAACAGTTATAAGGCACAGGTGATTGATTCTATTCTCTTTGTTGGTGCGTATGCTAAATGAAAAATTTATTAGCTGTCTGACAATAAGCCTGCCAACAAATCACGATATGCAAAAGGCGTTATTGCTCGTTTGATGGTTGAAAACACGCAAGTAATGTCAGATAGCAAAGCTTGAATCGTCATTCCCTAATATTAATCTTATTAGATTGACATCATGACCCCTGAATGTATTTCTGTTCGTATAATATAATCCAAACAATTCTATACACTTGCAAACCTACGGGACTGCGGTGGATTANGAATGAAACTGATGAAACCGATTCTGATCATTGGAATTATCTGAGCAGAATTCAATATTATTTCAGCTGAAACAAATCGACGATGAACTGGAGAGTTGTAGTGATATACAACAAAGAAACGCACTGTTGGAGATGAAGAATGACATCAATGAATTACTCTTGTTAATGAGCGGTTCGTTTTGGTAATTTGATAATGTTAAATAACTTGATATTATCATATTTTGTTCGAACTGGTGGAAAATCTAAAAATAATTCATTCATTACTTCAAAAGCGATAATTGTTACTCCAAAAAGAGATTATTTTTTACGTTGCGATGATGCAAAAAAGAGATTTTGCAGAAGTTGAAAGTGAGGGGCCACTTGTATCGGCTGATCAAAATAATGATGATGAGTCTAGCAAAGATGGCAGTGTTGAGATAGATGAAGAGGATGTGAGTAGCAGCATCACCGGATTGGACGACTCCGATGAGAGTGGATTATTTTCACAAGAAAGATTGATTGGACAGAGTGTTCGTGCACCATATAAACGAATTGTTGACCAAGCGATCACTTTTCATGATGCGATCATTTTGGATTACGTTGGTATCGCTGAACGACTGGAGGATTTGAAGGTTGCATCCATTCAGCGTTTCATTTTAAAAGATTCTTTTTGAATTGTTTGCATTGTTCTACAAAAAGTAAAATGATAAACTCTTCGAATAATGAATAAATAATAAATTTTGCAGGTGACTGTCCTGTATACTTATCCATTAGAGGATGCCATGAAAATCTGTGAATATTTTCTTGAAGACCGTTGTACTTATGGTGATAGGTGTCGTTTTTCGCATGGTGAAGAAGTGTTTTTGCGTGATGTTCTTTCGTATGAACCACCTGATTTTAGGTGATTTTTGTTAAACATCAAACGTTTCTTAGAAGTGTTAGTAATAACTAAACAAGCACAATTATTTCAGTTCATTGAAGGAGGATAGTTTAGTGCTGATTGAACGAGATAATAAATTATGGAGCAGTGGTCGCGTGAGTGCTATTGATGGACAAGATATTGCTGTTAAATTATTATCGACTGGTAAAGAAATTGCCAACAAACGTGAAAAAGTGATACCAATTGTGAACGATCAGATCANAATCTTTATGGTTTAAACATAAACTTTTTTCTAGAGCAAAAAGCGTCATCGTCATCAGCGAGCAGTAATATTGTGATGGAGTCATGGCCAGAACAAAAGAATGAAAAGTGTGGTCGTATTTGTGTGGGTGATATTGGTGATTGGGAGAAACATACTCGTGGAATTGGAATGAAGTTATTGCTGAAAATGGGTTACAATATAGGCGAAGGTTTAGGACGTAATTCTGATGGTATTGTACATCCTATTCAACCGGTCGTTTATCGAAAAAGTCTGTTAATTTTTTGTTTTTGAATCGGTTTTTCGTTTCATGCCATAAGTCAATTCAACAAACTGATTGCATTTCTTATCGTATATATTACTGAAGACAAATTTTTTGAATTTTGTTCGGGGAATTATTACACTTTAGAATAATTTTCACGAAATATAATGAAGAACGCTAAAAGAAGATAACTTTCGAATAAGATGATAACTGAATTTTTTTTTTCAAACTGAATAAATGTTTTCAGATAAATCGTTGGATGAATGTATGACATCGGAACATAACAAAAAGGTCATTGATGGTTGGAATAAAAGACGGAAACGTTTGAAGGACGAACAGAAGAGAGTTATCTTGAAAAAAATTACTTCTGAACAAGCACAGCCACAAACGGACATATTCGAGGTCCTCAATCATACCATTAATTCAACTCATAGAGATGAGGATGCTGCTATGCATGACCGTGAAAACAACGAACATCTTAAGGTAATAAGATGTCATTCCTTAAAATTGAATTATAAGTCAATCAATCCTCTCACCCATTGATCAGCATTTGGCATTGCCTTCCCCCCAAAAATTGCATATAAAAATGAAGTATTTTCATGCAAAAACTTAGTGTGCGTCATTCATACATTCATGCATCATGCATACTGAGTTACTCATCGACATAATGCGTATTCAAGGCAACATCGTCGCAGAAATTGGGTGTCCATTCAATAAATTTGGACAAACAAATAAAAGAATTGAAATCAAAAGAACGAAAGCTACGCGAAGGAATTGTACGTAATACACGTGATCGAATGACTGTCGAGCGACTTCAGAAAACGTTGGCCGAATGTCGAAATGATATTAAGAAATTGCAGAGTCGTCAAGAACGCGTCTCAGCTGAAATGCAAGGGAGACGTTCGACCAAAAAGGATTTGTTTTGAACGTGCATATTGTGATTAGTAATAAAAGTATTATATTTCGTCGATATTCATAACTGAATATTATTTCAATGGTTGTTTTCAATGCCATTCAAATGCGGTTTCTCACCTTATCAAAGTACGACTTTTTGCGGAAGAAACAACCGTTTGCGGAACGAAAAAATACTGTTTAGAAATAATGCATTCATTAGTGTTCATCGATGTAGGAGGAGGTTTATGATCGAACCACCTCGAGCAATAGTGATTAAGTATGGCAAAGCATATTTGAGGGAGGTCGATTCAAACTTGGCCGTTAATCTTTTGACTTTTTCATATGTGGTGACCGAACGTTTTCTCGAAATTCACGGACTGAAGAAGTTGAAAATTTCATTAATGTCTACTGTAATATCCTGCGTACCAACAAAATCTGAACGCTGTTATATATCAGTCATAATCTGGTCATCCACACTGAAGGTATTGCAAATGTACTTCTACTAACAATATCAAACTGAGCGATTTGCTGGTGGAATGGTCCTTGTACTTCATATAATTGCTCAAAGAACCGTTGAGGCAAAAATAATCCGGAACGGAAAATAGGAGTAAAGAAAAAATGATTGATGGGAAAATGAAATCAAAGGATAAAACCATAGATTTTTAACCTCCAGGGGCGTCCTGATTAGTGTTTACACGACATCCTAGTAATACCGATTATCGGTATTAGAAAAGCGATATCTATCTCGAGATTCGTGATGTCGGTATTTCCGGTATTCGTACCACAAGTCATTTTAAGTGAATTTGATAGTATATTTATCACGATTGGAGCATTGAGTGAAAAGAAGCATAGTGAGATCATTTTCATTTTTTTGTTGAATTTCGTGAGCTTTGGCGAGTGATTTGTTAAATAAATTATATTATGAATAATTATGATCACATTGACTCAAAAAGAATGTGTTGAACATTTCTACATTTCAAAAATTGCTTTTCAATATCGGCATCGTCGGTATTGGGAAACGATACCGGTATTAATATCGATTTAAGTATTGAGAAAATGGTCAATATTTTGCAAACACTAGTTTCGATTAACAGAGATGACGACCCAACTTGTTTCAATTCACAACAATATTCCTCTCTCGAATGTTTCAATTGGAACCAATTATTAAGTCTATTTAGTGACAGCAGTTCATGACTTATACCAATTCTATCAATTTGAAACCAGAAAACATTTGACAGAATGAAAGAGTGAAGTTGGCCACTCTTAAGATTTTCCATAAGAACTGAAGTGTAATAGATATTGCTGTCAACAATCATCGGATAAATAAATAAATCTGATCACTGAGATATTTAATTATGCAAAAGCGTTTGCACAAGTGCAGCATCCAGCTGTTGCCTAATAAACGAACCTCATCACAGTTCTCGGTATTGAGAAAATCGTCGATATTTTGCAAACATTAGTTCTGATATGTGAAAGAATATTATCCAGTAATAAGCCATCATCGAACCACGTTCCGTTGTTTATTAACGGAACATATTAAAACTTATTGTATTATCATTGGCCACAGTCAGTTTGTTCTAAAAAAGATCATACGCAGAAATTTATAATGCTTACGATGCACAATATGCATAAGTAACAGAGCAGGTGTATCATGGAGATTGCCATGTACTTCTGTGATATCACTAGCGGTATCATCTGTTTCACAAGGAATCATGCAAAAATGATGCTCGAGAAATAATTAGCTGCTCGTGGTGTTGGTAACCACAAGATTTTTCTCGGTGATCGCCGACCGAGAGCTATGTCGGTGATTACCGCAACTCGGTGTTCACCGACTGCATGATTTTGAGCATCGGTCGATCGCGGTTCGGTTGTAACCGCGGGGCGATTTGCGACGGTCACCGACCGAGCGAGCCTTGTCGGTTGCGATCGGTAATCACCGACGTGTCGGTAATCACCGCAACTCAGTATTCACCGACGGTTGGGAACTACCGCAAAACAGTCGGTGATCACCGACCCAACACTAGCTGCTCGGGAGGAGGATTCCATGTTTTAAAAATATCATCCAGTGAGAAATGGAATGATTAATGAACAGAATGATTAACGATATGATCAATGAGCAGTTCATTGATTTTGTTTGAAGACTTTATCCTAATTTATAATAATTATAATAAATTTCGATTATAATCGCAAGTTATAATAATCATAGTAATATAAGTATGGTAATTATAATTATTATAGCTTACGAAGAAATCTTATGTTACAATAATAATATTGCATCGCACAAATCAAATGTGGTGAACAGTACACCAATCGAATTCCTGAATAGAACCGAATATAGTCATCAAACATCATGTGTATTAAATAAAAAATATCACCTAGTAACATCATTAACTACGATTCGAATTACTGATGTTGCATGTACGGGGTGATAAACATGCATATCATGTTCTCGTTTTCACAATTTGTCATTTTCCGTCTGATTTGAAATACTCTGGAAGTTCTACCAACGAAATGTCGTTTTGATTTTAGCAATTTTTTGGCACTTTTTTTACTTTGGGGGGGGGGGGGG